CACATACCAACATTCCCAAATGGTACACTGAGTCAGATAAATGCCAGGGAGTAACAGAACCCATCCAGTTTGGTCTTCTGACTTATGGGAAGTTCTAGCACACTCTGAGAAGTGGTTTTCCAAGCCACTCCTTAAAAAAGAAATCTCCCCTGCTTCCATAGTACCTATAGGGTGTGTGTTCCAGCATTTTACAGCCCATACAGTCTGAACATGGCTCCTAATATCTAACTTGGTAATTTTCACTGCTTGTTGAACTGATTTCTTTAGGTCTTTCTCCCAGTGGACATGAAGAACAATTAATCACTGTGCTCCTGATTATAAATTTTCACTCACTAGATTTTTTTATTTTTTTTTAGCATATTCTCCTTAAGGTACAACAAAAGCAACACTTTCAGAAGCATATAATATCAGGTAGGTCTCCTACATATCCTCTTGCCCCTGGGCCAGATAACAATCAACCAGTTTCTGCTTTCTCCACAGTTTTAACTCTAGGACAATTACTGCCTTGACAAACATTTTTGACCTCTCCACATTTCCATTGGGACTCCACAGGTAGAAATCAGGGCAGAATTTATCCCCATGAGTTTCTGGATTAATGCCTTGGTAAAGGAAGGGGAAAAGGCAAAATTAATTCTCCCTGTTAGTGCGCTAACGCTACTCCTCAGGGATAGTTGGCCCCAAGACATTGTTCAAAGCAAGCACACTTCCAATACTCATTTCACATTTGCAGCACAGCTTCTACAAGCCAATAAATGCATCAAAAAAAAAGGCTTAAACTCATGAGAGTCTACATTTTGTCAGAGGACCAGGAACTGGGAATGGACTTAAAGCCCATCTTAGACCTGAAATTCAAGCTAAAACAGCAAGTAAAGGAGGAAAGGACAAGTCCCAAATTCATCAGGAATTGTGAGGATTCTTGCACTCTAAAGAAGAGTTGTGCATGTAGTGTTTGTTTGTTGCTTCAACACTCTTCCTTCATATAAAAGCAGTGCTGTGATGGACAAAGGCCTTCCCCACCCTGACATCCTGACGCTACACATGCAGCCTGCACTCTGGGACGCCAGCTTACTGTGTCACATTGGCTTGGGTTCTGCCTCTTCCTTTCCTTACGCCTGCAAGCTCAATTGAACTTATGAAAATTCAAATTGTCTTCTGTCTGTTTCATATATCATCAGCAAACAATCACTAGACAAAACGAATTTGCTCTCTGTAATTTGGAGGTTACACAAATGCCTCTGCTGTATAATGCAAAAAAAAAAAAAAAAAAGGAATAAAGTTTGCAAGGTTAACTCAGCATGGAGGAAAGCAGCAAAGAAACAGAGAGAGAACACAAAGAATAAAATACTCAGAAGTGGGGAGAGTGACATAAGAAATACTTCTGTAAATTGGAGTTGGCCTTGCTACTTTTGAGTGATGGGATTAAACAAAGGCACAAGCAAGTTGTGAAAGATCACCCCCAAGAGTGGCTGTATCACCATTCCTCATGATTTGTCTACACAACATACTTATTAGTAATAACAATGGTTACTGTTTATCCCCTAAGAGCTCTGCAAACACAAAATCACAAATTCAGTGATGTTCACAGAGCTGTATCAGTTTGAACCAGATTGAAAGAGTGACTTGCTGAACGAGGCACAGTGAGGTTATATGACTTGTCCAATGCCACTCATTGATCCAGTATCCATAAAGATTAGAGCACTGGATCTCTTGGTCACTGATCAGATCAGACTGTGTGAAACTGAAACCTTGACAAATCAACCTCTTTTTAAATAAAAATAACATGTCATATACTCCTTATTGCCCTCAGCCCATGGCTAAAACTATTGCTTTGAAAGCACATCTTTTACTACCACACGCAGTATGTGTGCTGTCATCGTCTCATTCCAAAATCATGCAGACACTTGAGTGTGGGCAGAGGTACCTCCTCATGCTTGACTTAATCCTATTAGGGGTTAGTTGCAAACAGCAAAGTACACACATCCACATCCTTAAAGTTGAGTATTTGAGTAGTCCCATTGACCTCAATAGATCTGCTTGCCTATCAGCCCACATGACTAGTTCAGAGAACCCAACAAAACAAGAATCCAGCCCACAGACCTCTTGCATTAGGAGAATATCTGCGCCACATTAAGCAAGTGGAGTTTTTCATGCAACTGTCTGACAGATGTTCAGGTGATGTTTATCTTAATGTTTTTTCTAATGCCATGTACCAACTATTTTTTATTAGACAAAATTTGGCTCATCTTATATTAATCACTCGATTTAGGGACATTCCTACATTAAAGCAAGATTTCCACAGTTTAATTAAAGAAATAAATGACAAAACAACAAAGAGAAAAGAATATGGCTTGCCCTTTCTCTTTGCTGTTTTTTGGGTTAATACAGGATAGCCCAAATGCCAAGTTCACCTTGTTAAGGGTCTTACAAATAGAAACCTGATTACAGCAAACATACAGGAAACAAAAGAAATCCTTAAAGCATACCTTCCTCTATAAAAAGTGCCACTATTTTTATTGTGTCAAGCAACTACTTATATGGACACAACGTACAGCAAGAACCACGTCCTCATTTTACAGGATATATGTGCTTATGTAAAACTTTCCTCACCTTGTTTTTCTATGTTCCAGAGATGCCAAGGCTACAGAACTTAAAAGCAGCTACAAGTTTAAAAGTTGGGGGTTCGTGGGGTTTTTTTTTGTTGTTGTTAGTGTAGCTTCTTTTGTTAGTTTGTTGTGGGACACATATTGAGAAAGTAAGAAAATTACAGCCTGAAAAATATTCCAGGCTGGAGCTTTTCAGCTCCGTTCCCAGCCGATAAGCTGGTCCAGTTCAAGGCTAAGGAGAATTTCTCCCAGGGTGATAATTTGGTCAAAATAAAAAGGAATTAATAACAAGACAGAACACCTGCTGTGGTGTGTGACCAGGCCCTGGGAATGGGGTGTCTTCTCTCTGAACCAATCACCTTTTCTCTACTCTTGGAATTGCGAGTCATGCTATAAAACCAAGTGTCTTTCTAAATAAACTTGTCTCTTTCTTCCTGTCATGAAAGACGACCATGTAGCTGTGCATCTTATTTCCGCCGCACTTAAAGGGTTAAAACCCCTTTCCACGGCTCCAGTTTGTTTGTGTTTTTTTAAAGCTATTAGCACAAGAAACTCAAGGATTAAAAATATGGCCCTTTATTTCATGGAATGGAAAGAAGACTTAGACAGAACAGTCTTAGGAATCATGATCCCACACTCCATTGGCAGTTTGACCACTGATTTACTTGGACCTTGAGAAAGCTGCTCAACATCTCTGTGTGGATGCACTTGACACTCTTGATAAAAAAAGGAAACCAAAAATATTTCCTAAACGTAAGTTTTACACTTGTGTATTTATTTCCCCTTCAAAATCTAGAGTCTCATATAACTAAAAAAAGCTCATCCAGCCAGCCTCAATTGCAACTCTTATTTTGCCTTGGGCTTAGTGCAGGTCTTGTGACCATCTGGATCCTAAGGATTCGAGGAACTTGCCTTTAATTCCCTCTTACACTGCTGCTGCATTTTGGAAAGAGAATTAATCCTGCTTTCCAGGAAAGTTTTTCCTGGTTGTTCACACTAAATTGCAAGACAAGCATGAAATTTGTACTCTCAGATTCAGGAGTTCCCCCATTCTTCCCTGAACACCTCCCTTTAAATTTCTGCTGGACCCAGCAAATCCACGAGAGTTTTCAGTTCGGCTCACCAGTGTAATTGCAAGGTTAACCTCTGGTGGCCAAGGAAGCTGCTCACATTCAGCAGTGAAGAGCAGAAAATGTTAAATACCATTCACTGGCCACAGCCTGCAGTTAATACACAATATTTAAACAACACAATGGCATGGCCCTTGCCAGTAATGTAAAAACATAGTGGAGTAGAGCCAGAATAGCACAATCTGCCTGTCTGAGTCATGCTTGGCGCTGTGTGCTGGAGGGGCAGGCTTTAGCTGCCCACAGTGTAACTGTACCCTCCAGCTAGTTTACAATAAAACATCAAAATACATTAAAAAGTGGGGGTGGGGGGTGGTGGTAAAGGCATGATAAATCCCCTCTAATAGTTAAAATATTTTAAAACTGGAGTACAAAACTACCACTTTGGAAGAAGGCTCTGGATTTCATTACAGACTGCACATTTTGATCTTAAACAAAAAAAAACCCTGACTTTGCTTTGTAATATTCCACAGCTTTGTACTGTTCAACTGAAATCAATCTTTTTCCTTCTTTCTACAAGCTTCTGGATTTTTCATATATTATTTAATTTGATTAAGAGTATCTGAATCTGCTATATTTTCCAATCCTCTTTTGCATGCCCGTTGTTCAGTCACAGAAGCGCCAAATTTTAATTAACCCAAATACGTTCAATAAACAGATTCTAAATAAAGGTAGATCAGAGTGATGTACAATCTGACTTGCATTTATGGAATAACTATGCTCTTAGAAAAAGACTCCTTTCTCGCTGAGACATAGATGTTATTTTGACTGTTTTGTTGTGTCACAGCAGAGATGAATTAGCATTTCTGCCTTCATCTGCCCCCTAAAGAAGTTGAAGTCCCCTGTGATGTCATCTGAAAGTGGTTTGTTTTTTTCTCATACAAAGAAGAAGAATTTGTTACGACATCACGAGAAGAGAATAAACTGTATTTTTTGCTATAAGGAATCTTCTGCTACTTTCTGTTATCTCTGCACCAATGTGCAGAAATCTTCACTGACAAAGCAACAGCAACTGTAAGTCAACAGAGATGCACAGTATTCCTAATACTATTCAAAACAAAGCAGGAAAGAATGATCTATTCAGTGCTCTGAAATTAAAGATCTGCAAGATGTAAGTTCCTTTTTAATTTTTAAATAAAACATCCTTTGAACTTCTAAATCCCATTTAAGGGGACTCTGACCTTTATCCAAGACCAGCTACTGTGCTAACACTTTGGATGCATATAGAAGAAATATACGGACAAAAGGTACCAGAAAAGCTTTTACTTACAGGAATGCAGTGTGGCTTAATCTTTTTGTTTTTAAGGTGCAGTGATTTCAGCATCTACAATGTAACTTCAGGCAGTCTGAAAAGAAACAGGTTAAAATCTCTTTCAGTTATAATTGGTATTTCAGATTTAATTAAAAATTAAACTTTCATAATGTTTCACCATCCAAAGCAATGCATTATCAGTCAAGCGTAGCCTTTTTTTTTTGTTCAAAGAAGCTCTTCCCAGAGTAGATGCAATGAAAGAAAAAGGGAAAAAGGCAATTGAGAGCAGCAAAATGTATTTCTTCAGCAAAAGATCTCTGAATAATTTGGAAAGAAGCCTTCTGCCACTTAATTTTAACAATCAACCTTATACTAATTAGAAAAAAAAGAAACCACAATTAAAAAAGGACAGAAAAACACCACCACATACCAAAGACTGTGAGGATAAAAATGTTAATTTCAGCAAAACAAGGACATTGCTAGGACCAGAACATACGCACCAAAAGGGAAAATATGGTTTTACATAATGCCAGCCAACATTTTTTACAAATTCATTCTACAGCATGCAGCACTTTCAGACTGTTGCATGAAGGAGCAGAGAAAGACAAGTTCAAAAAGAGGAAAGCTGTTTTTAAAGTTTACAAAGCAAAAGGTCCCTTGCAACCTTTTGTTAAGGGATATGAAATAGCTCTTCTATAAAACTGCATGGTTTCTTATCGTGTAAAATAAATGTCACATTACCGTGCAAAACAGATGATTAAGAAGTGGTAGCTGTAGACACAGCATTTGAACAGATGCAAATTTTTTTTTTCCAAAATGGAGTTGAAATAGTTGGAATGACAATAAAACTCCAGGGGTTGTACCATAAATACGAGTTTAAATGTTAGACTGGAGTTTAAAACCTGTGGTTTTAATTATATCTAATTATAAAGGCTCCAAAACCAGGAGAAATGAGAAAAACAACAAAAAATATTAATAATAAATTAAAACAATTTTGCAATAAGTTGTCAGGATTTGGCCTAGTAATAACAAACCATACAGCAATATACACAGATACATACAATGTAACAATGACTCATTAAAGAAACAGATCAAAACTTCATTAAATTTTATTTTTAAAAGGTGACAGCAGAACTTGCCTAATTTACCCCATTCAAAGTCAAAGCTGGTCTCCTCACCAGCAGCACACTCACAAAGACGGTCAAATAAATCCCGGATGCAAATCTAACACTGTTTTTAAATGTATCACAGGCTGGGAGCAATTCCTAAGTGTAATTTTACTTTGTTCTCCCATAAGTAAAAATCCAATTCCTCAGATGCCAGTGTTATATGAGACTTCTAAATCCATCCTCATGGATGTTTAAAATAAAACACACCGTATCAGACAATCTACTGTCACACAAACATATTTATACACATGTAGGTTTAAGTTTTCCACTCTGTCAAGATCAGAGGTATTGAAGAGCAGCAGCAAAGCAGCAAGTATGGAAGGGGATAACATGGGAAGAATCAGAAACAATTCTTGAGCATTTGAACGAGAGCCCCCTGATAGGGGCACTAGAATGATGCTGCCACAAGATAACATTTATAGGCTTGGATGAAATTTTTCCTGAAGGAACCATCTGACACACATGTTCCTCTTCCTTTAGACAACCTTATATCAAAAAACTTTCCTACTTTCTCCTGATTGACATTTAATAAGGTAGACAAACAGTGAAGAAATACAGGCAAAAAATTGGTAAGTCCATCAGCAGTTGGCCACAGCACAACTGCCACATAAGTGATAACAGTTTCATCCTCTTATCTTCCATTTCTTTCCCTTTCTTTCCCTTCCAGATTTATCTCTTTTCTAACATCTTCAGGACTGTAATGCTGGCTTGCTGGCAGGTAAGGAGCGGGGCAGCAGTATTTAAAATCCAAAGCTATTTCCTCTAATGAATGCAGTGAAAAAGTGACCACAACTGAGAAAACAAAGAGCATTCACTGAGGGTGAAATGTATCCCTGTGCAGAGAGCCAGCATAGAGACTGCACCACTGAAGCCCTACTCCAATGACCTAAATAGGAATAAATTGGTGCATGGACTTCACCACAGTGAATTTTGTCCAAAATCCCCATTTTCTTGTAGAGAATGTGGAAACACATGGCCCTCTCCTGTCAAAGCACAAAGGTATAGCACCTACTTCCCCTGCTGGGCACAATCCTGACAGTGTATCTTCCTATCAGTTTTAAACTGAAGTCTTCTGTGCTTTGTCCATGTTCTTCTGATTGGAAAGGGAAAGGAGGGAACATGTGGCATTACTCTCTAAGTTAGCCCAAGGGCATAGTGCCTGCAGATAAAGTGGTCCCTCTCCTCAAGGCAGGCATAAATTAGCACACACTGTGATTCTTCTAATACAAGAAATGGAGCCTCAGAAAAAGCTCTCTGTAAGAATTTGCCTTCCTGTGCACAAGTAAGGATGTTTGACGCTTGTGGGGCAGGAGGTCATGATTGCTGAATGAAAGGGGTGCCCTAATCCCCTTGTGGAAAGAAAGACACATGGCTCGAGAACAGTCAATGAACTTCTGCTTGAGAGAAGCCCAAGAGCTGGAATTGCAAGAATGAGGAGTATGCCAGGTAAGGAATGAGCCACGTGAGTAAAGTGCTAACAACAGAGCAAGTGTTAGCTCTTAGTAAAGGCTTTAAAGACAAATATCAGAAGGTAAACAGGCTTCACTTTGCTTTCTCACAATTCCTTCTTGCCACAAAGCTTATGCAGAGTCTGAAAATTGTGAGAGGAAAGCTACCAACTCTACAATGACTGAAGTTCATTAGCAATATTCCACGACTTGCACGGGCTCCTGACTCTACTTTGCCAGACTCATGTTTATGGTCTAATTCCCATTCTTCAATGAGAATCAGATTCATTCAATCTAAAAATTAAAAAGAACAAAAAAAAGTGTAACATGTTATCAGGAAACATTTCAGAAGATGTCAGCCTTCTGCAAACTCTTAGCAATAAAGAAATTCCATATCTGTAAGGCTTTGATTTTCCTTGAGTACCTTAAGTCAGCTGGAGCAGGTCAGTTAGTCATACATAGCTGATTAGTTACGAGGAGGAGGAAGACTAGAGGAGAATACAGTAAAACACTTTTTAATTTCTTTAGAAATTTCTAGATATAGAAATTAAAAACTCAGTAAACTGATCTTTTTCGAGTTCACTTCTTGACCTGGAAATCAACGATGAAGCCACAGCCACAAGTAACTATTCAAAGGTAAAATACTGATGTCCTTACTTAAGAAAAAAAACCTCTTTGATAATAAATATTAAAGAACTTGTCTTCAACAACCAGGGAATGAGGGAAAGGGAGGGCACTGGATGATAAATGGACACACACAAACAAAAAAATCAAGCCTTTTACCTTCAAGAGAATATTAAAAATACTCATGGGCCAGATAAGAGACCTCAATCCAACTTCAGAATCTAAATAATTACTTAGGATATGGCCCGGGATAATTGTGTCACAGAAAGAAAAAAGGAAAGCCAACAGTACAGGCTCCTTATCTAACAACAACTATAAACTCTGAAATTTGAGCCAGTATAGACACACCAGCACAATGCTCTGTTCAGGTACACTGGTAAAACGAAAGAAGAAATCTTACTAACACAGATATAGCATTACTTTGCCACATTTTATAGGTGAATGCACTTTAGTTGGTATTAGTTCTCTATAAACAGCTTTATTTTTGTCACCTGTCTCTTGTCCTGAGTGGACAGAATTAAAGAGAAAAGAAAAGAAAAGAAAAGAAAAGAAAAGAAAAGAAAAGAAAAGAAAAGAAAAGAAAAGAAAAGAAAAGAAAAGAAAAGAAAAGAAAAGAAA